GAAAATGTTTTTCTGATGGTGTGTGGCCTTGAGCCCCGACTGAAAATATAGCCTTAAAAGTCAAACATCTAGTCACATATTAAAACAAAATTGAACCTTTAGAGGATCTGAATTTCAACCAGACATATAGCGGTGATAATTACCAGGCTATGACTATGGTACCGAATGACTATGGATCAAATGACCCCGGGTAGGGGCATATTCGGCGAATTTGAACTTTTTTACAAAACTATAACAAATTTTAATCAATACTAGTTTATTATATGTTTTTGTTACTAGTATTTAAAATTAAGTATCAGAGGACAATTATCAGCCATAAAGTGTTTATATCTGTTAAAAAAGTACTGAGATGTAGAGCTCTAAAAAGTGCCGAATGGTTTCCAGTCTCCCCTACTTCGAATTTGCATTACGTCCAACACACATAACCATAGCAAAGGTAAAAATATGAGTTACGACAAACAAAATTCAAAATCAATTTTTTTATCTTCTCAGCTTTCATGTCTAAAACATCCGAAAATATTTATTGACATGAGCCGAAAGATATGTCATCATCTTAGTCAACAAAATTGAATGTCAATCGGATATCTATGAAATCGGACAAATCATATATTATCTATATAAAAATCTGAATTGATTTGAAAAAAAAAATTAATATAATTTGGACCTTTCTGCAACATTTCTTCCCAATCGAACTAACCTATGGTACAGTTTACATGAAATCAGCCACATACATATATTCTGGTGGCCAAAACAATCCGATGTACTTCATATCTCGTAACTTCATAAATCTCGTAAATATCAAATTGAGACATATGTTCAATATATATGTTTAACGAATCTAAATCTGCCCGAATGAAATAGAATTTAGCATAGGTTGCAAAAAGGCATGTGTATGTTCTTTCGAGGGAACATAGACATGAAATTGTTAAGATACATATGAACAATATATTCAATATTGTCGGCCCAGTTTAACATGAGAGAGGTTCCGAAGTAATCACACTCATCTTCGAATATATGACAATACTTGTCACTGTAATTTGATAAAAGACACCCATTATTTTTTCGGCAGATTTATGCTCATTGGAAATTTGACAAAATTCGGTACATTTTACAGTTTTTCTTTGACAAAGGCGAAAATACAAGCAAAGCGGAGAAATGCGGTCGTAAAATTGCCCAGGAGCTAAAAATCGACCATAAACTATTTAAACCATTTAAAATTGACCAGAAACGGCCAGAATTGGCTAACAGGAGAGGTGTCGTGTTCAAATAGCATAACGCTAGGTCACACACATCTACAGTGACTCGCCAGAAACTTCGGGGGTTTGATAGGGAAGTTTTAATGCATCCGCCATACAGTTCGCACTTTTCACCAAACGATTATCATATTTTTCTTCCATTGCAAAATGTTTTTAATGATAAAAAATTGGTATCTCTACAAATAGAGAGCAGGACTTCTATGAGAGGGGCATTATGAAGTTACCTTTAAAATGGCAACAAATCATACAACAAAACGGTGCATATTTGGCCCAAATCGGACATTCCGAAGCATGTTAAATAAAGTTCTATAGTTCATATAAAAATAATGGATTTATTTTTCGGGGTATATACCCGACGTGGATCTATGCCAACAGTATTCGGCGATGTGGATTTTCAGATAGTGATGACTTAACATTTCGGAATTAACCACCTAACTATTTTTTGAATATGTAGAACATACATGTAAATTGCTTCGAAAATAAATAATTAACATAATCCTAAATATGTTTTATTGGAATTTATTATAAATAATAGGCAAATTTAAAAATTATATCCTTTCGTTAAATGCATTTAAAAAAATATATATTTTCCTTAACGCTTCAAATTCAATGGATTCTTAGTTTTTGGGTTGCATAGGCTTCCTTTGCCTCATAGGTTTTCTTGGCTTTTTAGGTTTCCTCGAGTTCTTTGGCCTCCTTGGCCTTTTAGGTTTCTTTGGTTTTTTAGGTTTCATGTTTGGTTTCTTTGGGGGTTTGCTGGATCAGTAGGAGCAGAATCATCGGTCGGTGGTACATCGTCCTTGGGTGGGGCAGAAACATCTGTTGGTGGTTCAACAACATCAGTTGGTTGTTCAGGTTCTTCAGGCACAGGCTCATTATTCTCCACAGGAGCTTCACTTTCTTCTGCGGGATCTTCACTGGGTGGTACAGCAGCTTCATCTATAGGTGCTTCACTTTCATCGATGGGAGCTCCTGGCTCTTCTTCTACAGATTCTTCAGAGTCTGCTTCTTCAGCTTCAGGAACTTCAGCAGAAGTTTCATTTTCTTCTGGAGGTGCGACATCTTCTGAAGGAGGATTTTCAATTTCTTCTGCTGGAGCAGAAGGGTCACTTTCATCAACTGGAACTTCCTGGTCTTCTGAGGGTACTTGTTCAGGTGCAGGCGAATCTTCGGCATCCGCAGATGGATTTTCAACTACAGGAGCTTCATTTTCATGTTCAACCTCTGGTTTTACGTCAGAGGTATCTGAAGAAGCTTCGACTGCTGCTGTATTTTCATCTTCGGGCAGGGGTACAGCCCGTACAAATAGTAGTAGCGTCAATAAAAAGAATATGCCGAATAGTTTCATGTTGTAGAAACAAAGTCGATTTGTAACTAACTGTCGTTCTTTTCAGTCATATTTATTTCAATTTTATGTTCTATTTGGATTTTCAAATCTAACCATTTGGCGGATGTACATATTCTGATTTCCCTAGGATACACTTTTTGCAGATATTTCAAACACAATTCGTCTATAGAAATATTGTTGCGTTTTAAATAATTAAAAGAAAACCAGACACACCAAATGCGTCGACAATTTCAAACAATTATTATTGATATGATATGATATTCTACGTCTTGAAATAAATTGTAGAGAGCTTTAACATCTCACCAGATACATGTGTCTAATATTCAAACATTGATTTGTATCGCAGACATGGAACAAATATTGTTGTGTGTTTTTAAGGACTTTGATTTTTAAAATAATATTTTGATAATATTATTTGATTTTTAAAATAATAATTATAAAATAGATTTTGAAACGAATATTTTTTCAAGGACAAATAGAGCGTAGATTTTTGAAAAAATATTTTTTCAAGGACAATTAGACCGTAGATTTTTAAAACAATATTTTTTCAAGGACTAGAAAAGGAGTGGATTTTTAAAAGAATATTTTTTCAAGGACCAATAAAAGGCGTGGATTTTTTAAAGAATATTTTTTCAATGACCAATAGAGCGTAGATTTTTAAAAGAATATTTTTTCAATGACCAATAGAGCGTAGATTTTTAAAAGAATATTTTTTCAATGACCAATAGAGCGTAGATTTTTAAAAGAATATTTTTTCAATGACAAATAAAGCGTAGATTTTTAAAAGAATTATTTTTCAAGGACAAATAGAGCATAGATTTTTAAAAGAATATTTTTCAAGGACAAGTAGAGCGTAGATTTTTAAAAGAATATTTTTTCAAGGACAAATAGAGCGTAGATTTTTAAAAGAATATTTTTTCAATGACAAATAGAGCGTAGATTTTTAAAAGAATATTTTTTCAAGGATAAATAGAGCGTAGATTTTTAAAAGAATTATTTTTCAAGGACAAATAGAGCCTAGATTTTAAAAAGTATATTTTTCAAGAACAAATAGAGCGTAGATTTTTAAAAGAATTATTTTTCTAGGTCTACCAATGGAGTTGATTTTTAAAAGAATATTTTTTCAAGGACAAATAAAGCGTAGATTTTTAAAAGAATTATTTTTCAAGGACAAATAGAGCGTAGATTTTTAAAAGAATTATTTTTCAAGGACAAATAGAGCGTAGATTTTTAAAAGAATATTTTTCAAGGACAAATAGAGCGTAGATTTTTAAAAGAATATTTTTTTTCAAGGACAAATAGAGCGTAGATTGTTAAAAGAATATTTTTTTTCAAGGACAAATAAAAAGAGTATTTTTAAAATAATATTTTTACAAGCCTCAAAGAGTGAATTTTTAAAAGAATATTTTTTTTTCAAGGACAAATAAAAAGAGTATTTTTAAAAAAATATTTTTTTAAATGACCCACAAAAGGGGTTTATTTTTAAAAAAATATTTTTTTCAAGGACAAATAAAAAGAGTATTTTTAAAAGAGTATTTTTTTCAAAGACAAATAAAAAGAGTATTTTTAAAGGAATATTTTTACAAGCCTCAATAGAGCGTGGATTTTTAAGAGAGGATTTTTTAAGGACCAATAGATGGTAGATTTTCAAAAGAATAATTTTTAAGGACCAATAGATGGTAGATTTTCAAAAGAATATTTTTTAAGGGCCAATAAATGGTAGATTTTCAAGAGAATATTTGTTCAAGGACCAACAGATGGTAGATTTTTAAAAGAATATTTTTACAATAGAGTGGAGATTTTTTAGCAACATTTTTATGTAAGAACCCATAGGAACCGATGAATATTTCGAGATGTTGTAATTATTTATTTATAAATATGAATGTATTTATTGTTAAACATAAAAATAATTACGTTCATATTTAACTTCGAATTCAAGTTATTTGGTACTAAGGTAGTAAACAATATTTAAATGGCCATTCTCAATTCTGCACTGAAATCAAACTTCGAACAGAAAAACAAATAACAGACACGCTTATAACCTTTCAGCAAATGGTTCAAGGCTTCCAACCGAACACCTGTGCTCAATGTATCTACCACTCTAGGGGTAAATATTTACCATCTAAGCCTAGCTCTATACGATATTTTTTTGAATAACAGACGAATAATCCGTATTTACCAGTCTTTAGACGCAATAATATTTATAATAGCATTTGAGTTTTTGCATTCCATATGTTTTGAAACAAAAACACCTTAATTTCCCAGTAGACATTTAAAATTGCCATATGTGAAATTATTACCAAAAAATGCAACAGCATTTGCATAAATATCGCCAAGTGCTGAGAATTGGATATCAGAAGTTAGTTGTTTCTTCTAAGTCTAACTAGCGGCTAAATATGAAATTCTTTACTATATTCCTTCTCTTGGGCCTATTGGTAATGGCTTTGGGCCAAGCCGCTGAAGGAGATGCAGCAAGCAGTGATGTAGCACCTCCCGAGGAACCAGCAGCTCCTGCTGAAGAACCAGCAGCACCTGCTGAAGATCCAGCTGAAGAGCCACCAGCACCAGCTGAAGAACCTCCAGCACCAGCTGAAGAGCCTTCAGCACCAGCTGAAGAACCTCCAGCACCAGCTGAAGAGCCTCCAGCACCTGCTGAAGAAGAACCTGCTTCCGAAGAAGAAGAGGAACCTGCTTCTGAAGAAGATGACGAAGAACCAGCTGAGGAGGCAGAAGAACCTGCAGCCGACGAACCTGCCGCTGAAGAACCTGTACCCGAAGAACCTGCCGCTGAAGAACCTTTACCCGAAGAACCTGCCGCTGAAGAACCTCTACCCGAAGAGCCTGCTGCTGAAGAACCTGCTCCTGAAGACTCTGCCGTAGCCCCTCCTGAGGAACCCGCACCACCAACCGCTGAAGAACCTGCTCCAGTCCCACCTAAAAAACCTGGCAAACCTAATAAAAATAAGCCAAAGAAGCCCAAGAAACCTAAGAAGCCCAAGAAGCCAAAGAAGGCTGGTAAGGGTGGTAGAGGAAAAGGTAAGGGCAAAGGTAGAGGCAAACCTAAGCAAGCAAAAGGCAAGGGTGCCGGTAGACAGGGTTAATTCTATACCCATATAGAAATGATTAATATTTCTCAAATGTTTGTATTAAGCTAAAACGAAAAAAAAAACAAATAAATAAAATGTTAATGCAAACAAAAAGTTTAAGTGTTCTATTATAAAGAAATTTTTTCACAGGATTGCAATTCGAAAGATAATCGATTTCTATGCTGAAATACATACAACAGCGTCATTAATATTTATAAATCACACCATGAGAAGCAGATTAAAAATACCTAAAATCGAACGGGACTATTATATGAGTACCGTTCTAATGTGCTGGGGTAAACTAAAAGGAGGTTTGACCTATGAGAAATCAACATATAAAAGTAGATCGAATTTATTTCATAAAAGTCTCCAAATAAGAAGCCACAATATTGGGCAGATTAAAAAATTGAACGGGACATGTATATGAGTACTATTAGACTCTCAGGTTCAAAATTTGGCTAGGATCTTGAACATATCAAAACCCTCAAAATACTGGTATACGGATACTAAATCAAAACGAGGACATGCATTGATAATACTTTGTAGCTAGATTTGATTTGAACCCAACAAATCAAATTCGATCGAATTCGATTAAAAAACGTACCCAAAGTCCCCAAAATACCGAATAAAAATAAAGAGTACCATAATGTGTGTGCTATTCATTTTTCATTTTTGATATTTTCCAAATTTAAAATATTTGTTATGTCATTTTATGCAATGAAATTTTTAAAAAATACCGACATATGGGGTCTACCAATATTGACAAATTTTGATATGAAGATTTGCCATGCAATGAGAACTAACTTCCCAAAATATCAAATATAAGGGTGTACTTGTTACGATAAATCTCATTTTCAAAAGTAAATATCGTAGGAGTGATGTCATTTAATTATTGTAAGCCCTATCGTGATTTCAACATCCGGACAGATATAGCAATATCTGACCAATTATGTATTTAGTAATTATGTATTTAGTATTCTGACCAATTATGTATTTAGTAAATATTTCAAGTGACGGAATTATAAGTATAAAATAGATGGAATTATATGTTTAATATACAATCCACATTATGGTGGACGACGTAGATATGGTATTTCGGTATGTTTTCCACCAACAGGCCTTCGATATTGGCCTTAAAGTCTTTTTTTAGTTTGATCCCGTACAATTTGACATTTGATCAAAAAAGTCTAGTTTAGATTGGTGCGATGGGGATCTAAAACTAGTACAAAGTTCATTAATTTATCACTTCATAATCTCCATCTTTGGGCTGATATTCGTACCACTCCATGTTATGTCTATGACACTAACAAATCTACTAAAAAATCTCCAAGACCACGAACAACACCTATGTTTCGAAATACACATGGAAAATACTATTAGAACGTTTTCCGTTAATAAACTTAAGAGTTATTGCCGATAATATAAAAATAGTGAAAATTGCATTTAAAAAAACAGTGAGCGGAGCAGTATTAGAACTATTAGAACGTTTTCCGTTAATAATCTTAAGAGTTATTGCCGATAATATAAAAATAGTGAAAATTGCTTTTAAAAAAACAGTGAGCGGAGCAGTATAGTCGGACGGTGCCGACCACACGATACCCTACACAACTACCACGAAACTGGGAATTTTTATTCCGAGCCTGGTCATTATTTCGTTATACTGGCACCCTCTTACTCGATTAGAGGTCAACAACACCTCTTCCTTACACTGACATGTTTTCCTAATATAACAAATATTTAGTAGTGTTGTGGTGTTCGGCTCATAATTGTGGCCAATAGATCAACTCAAAAAAAAAAAAACACAAAAAATACGTTTTCGGTCCACATCATCCCGAAATTATTATCTGATCATCGCCGAAAATTATAGGCGTTGTCCTTGACCCAAATTGGAACGTCATGGAACACATCAAAGCGATCAGTGCTATATTTCCGCCCTCCAGTGTGCTATTGGGTTACAAAATAATAGATGAATACGTAGGCACCTGAAAATATTTAAGAGTAACTCACACATCTGAGTAACTCCCACATAGAATACAAAATTTTGAAATTGACCCGATCTCAAGTTAAAAATTCGCGATTTTTCGACCATAATTGCTGTCTCTAGAGCGACCAGCAAATCAGGCAAAAAAAAAAAAGTTTGTGGTACATTTCATCACCCAAATATTATCCGATCTTTACCAAAACAAAAGGAGTCTTCATTGGGTAGAACCCATCCGCCAAATGAAAATTGGTCCAAAACTGTGGTCTGTATCGTATTTATACCCTTCACCACACTGTGGTACAGGGTATTATGTATTTGTGCATATGTTTGTAACATGCAAAAGGAAACGAGATAGACACATGGTTCCTATTGAGAATATGCATAGAATCACTTTTTAAGTCGATTTATGCATTAAATTGTAAACAAAGTACAGGTCGCATTTATGGTCCGAATTGGATGAAATGTGGCATAGGTCTCTTATTTGGCTCAAGGACGAACCCTACTGAAATTGTAAAAAATCGTTTCAGATTTAGATATAGCTCCCATATATATTTTAGTCCGATTTTTTGTAAATGGCGTACTAAAGTCCCTATATATCTTTCGATTTGCACGAAATTTGGCATAGCGTAAGGAATTTGGTCTAGCATGATGCGTGTTAAGTTTCCTGAAAATCGGTCCAGATTTAGATATACCTCCCACATATATTATCTTCCGATTTTAGGTAAATTGGGTCCGATTACCACACAATTTTGTACAATGAACTGTAGTTAATTTCTTCCAAGAATCATTGAAATCGGTTCAGATATAGCTTGTACATATATATTGACACAAATTTTGAAGTTAGTATAACCTAGAGGTAGGATATAATTGCTTCAACAAGGTGGGTCCAATCGGCACAAAATATTGCACTACGTACTGAAGTTACTATAACATAAGAAGCAACCATATATCTGATCAAATGAAAAATTTAGTATAGGTGTTTATGGATCCATTTTCATGTTAATGATCCTTCAAAAATTCGATGTCTGTTAGGATTCATCTGTTGAATATGCCGAAGTGGTGAAGGTTATTATCAGCCCCGTCCGACTTTACTACTTTCCTTAATGGTTACAAATTAGAATGGACAGACGGACGGATACTCATGTCTAGATCGACTCAGCTAGTCGAGATATGCCGATTGGTATACTTAAAGGGTCTAGGACCAATATTTCGCGGCGTTACAAACCTTGGTACTGCACAAAGCTATAATACCCTGACAACATAGTTGAGTTGGTTAAAACAATAAGTTTTTTATATTGAAAACTAATGGGTCTATTATACACGGCCAAGGGGTCTCTTTCTACAGAATACCAATATACAAGGATAATTTACTTTCCATTGATAATCCCAGGATAATATCCCACAATGAAAAAGGCCGGTTCCGTTACAAAATTTTGCCAGAACATGTAACTGGAAATGACTACTCTCAAGCCATATTGGTGAAAATCTAAACTTAAAAGTTGACATTTCAAAATGCCGCTATTGGGTTCTAGTAAATATATTGGGTTCTAGTAAATATATATTTTATTGCAAACATTCAAATATACATTTTTTCCTCTTTTACTATGATGCAGGTGTGTAAAATCTCACGATTGTCTTCGACGATACTCTCGTCTTTTATAGATACTATTTTATGCTATTTTTTATTTTCAAAAACAAGTTTTTGTGGTATCTACATGATAACATTGCCCTACATTACAACAAGATACACCACAAGACTGAATCGAAAAGATTCCTTCAAAACTTAATTTTAACTTCAGTTCAAAAAAACATCCCCTTATAGTTTAACCACAATCTAATTTTTGTTTGTTGTTATCGTCGTAGTGCAACCCCATTTTCAAGATACACACAGCCATTTGTACTTGAAACGAAAACCGGAACTTGAAGGGGGTTGGAGGAGTTAAGCAGAAGAAACAAGCAATAACAGAGAATGCAAGATAAGGTTTGTTTACATTTTCAAAGTTGGAAGGAACAAGAAAAACAAATAACGAAAAAACAGGAAGATATAAAACGAAAAAGACCGCATTTGTTTTGAAAACAAAACTAACAAAAAACGCAATGGAATCGAAACGGAATAACAACAACAAAATGTAAACAAACATTTAGATGACGCTGACGATGTTTCAATTCCAATGAAAACAAAAAACAGCTGATTGCAAAGATAAGAAACTCCGGCGCAGCTATTGATTTTTGGGGGTTGTCGTGCGGCACGCTGGCGAATTGAAACAACTTAGAAATGCACCCCCAGAGCGCAAGTACTTCAGAACAAGCAAAGCTCGTGAAGAACAAGGATGATTCTTGGTCTTATTAAGCGTTTGTCGTCATAACATTGTACAAGTGCAGATTACAGTACAGAGACACAGGAAACCAAAAAAAAAAAATAATAATGAATAAAATGTAAAATTGTAACGCACTCAGCTAGCAGGAAATATTAAAAGCTGGGAAAAAGTGTTCTCGAAAAAAAGGAAAAGCAAATTTGGAATAAATGAAAATCAAGATATCCTGCAGTTGATTTCCTAATAAATGTGCATATCTAGAAAATTTACAAAAGAAAGTGAAAAAGGTGTAAATTGTGTGAAGATAAAAATAATAATTATTTGTTATTTTATGTGAGCGGGTGTGTGATTTTGTAATCATCAAAAATTTGCTGTTTATATTTTTGCTTTTCAAAAAAATCCCAATAAATGTTGCTGAATAATATACAACAAAAATACCCACACCCAATTTTTTCTTGGGTCATCTTGTAAAAGTGTTGTGTCGTTGTTGTTGTTATTGCCTTTCTCTTTTTTGCTGCGACCGTTCCAAATGTTAAATTCTTAAAGAGGGCATCAAGTGAACCAGAAAAAAATCCACTTAAATGTACAAATTTTAAAATTCGTATAACCTGTAACAATACCTACAAAATACACGTCTTAATTGCGTTTGTTGGTAGACATATCGGTTGACACGGTTGGCATTTGACACAAAACCTACCCGCCGCCCTCGTTCTCCATCGCCTAACCAAGTAGTATAGTAACGCGGCGCGTATGTGTTTCTTTTTTTCGATGTGTGTAGGAAGACAACTAAATATCCTCCACACTTCACATATCAATTAATCAAGAATTCAATTATCTTCATCATCAACGTCATCACAAGTTAATCTATACGAAGTAAATCCATCATCCGTCATCAATATGGATATAAATCTATCAATGCTGATATTGTTAAGTTTTACATTCTTTGTAATCGGTGCCGTGTTTATGCTGCTATTTCAATACTATGTGTATTTGAAATTTTCCCTGTTGCCCGAGGAAACAGCCGAACAGAAGGATATAAATGCCAAATACACACTGCCGAAGGTGAGTACCTACCGACCAACCAACCTGCCTATCTGCCAAACCCAACCAACTAACCAAGCGAGCAACAAACAAAATCATCCAATCTACCAACCACCTCATGTATATTCAATAATTTTTTAATAACCCTCGAGGGACTACAGGGTGCACCAAGAGCATTATAAAATAGAGATTTGTGATTTGTGTTCTTTATTTGTTTAACAATGTGCATTTGTAATGAATCTACTATTATTAATCCTCTGAGGATATGTAATGGTATATTTTTAGTAGCAAGGTTTGTTAAAATGACCGAATGTTGTTGTTGGCATTTTGCTTTTTGTAAACAGCAAAAACTCTTGTCCAACAGCTTTAGGCGATTATAATGTTTACATGCTATTATTAGACCATGGCCAATTTCTTTCTTTGTCAATGTCAAAAGTATTAAAATTGCAAAATTTATTTTAAAACCAGTAAGGAAGGACCAAAGTCGGACGGGGACGACTGTATAATACCCTACACAATTTTGGGAGCATACTAAATGGAGTTTATTCAATTCGGTATATTGTAAAAAATGGCTTCTCAATTGAAAAAAATCTCTAGACTCTCCATTATTTAAAACATAGGATCACCTCTATTCTTGATTTGAAATTTGTATTTTCAATCGGCTGGAAAATGGACGTGGAATACATTGAAGACTTGTATACAAGTACTTGAAGACAAAATAATTGACATAATTTTGTTGTTTTTTAATTTGTGTAATTAATGAAAAGTCATTCTTTTCGACGGCATCCCAAAGAGTACATATCTGGCTCTGTTATGGACTGGGATTTTAACAAAGTGGCGGGCATTTGACATTGTTTCGAAAATAAGGAAGATCTTGACTGATTACATTTATCCTAGTTCATACGATAGCTATGTACCTACAGATTTTATTATTCATTTTTGAGTGCTCTTACCCGTCATTTGTAAAAAACCTACAGAAAAAGTCACTTAAAGGTTGAAAAAAATCCTCAAAGTACCGAAAAGTAGGGTTACCGATATTGATTATTTTTTAATGGGAAGATTTGACAACCAAAGACAATTCGAAATCTAAAATAATTATAGTCAATTTGATTTAAAAACGTACCAAAACTCCTCAAAATACCGGCGTTATTTGGGTATATCCCGAAATGTGGGTCAATATTGAGAGATTTTTGTAAGGAAATTCGCTATACAATGTGAATTCAAAATAAAAAATTGAAGTCAATTCAGTTGAAAAACGTATCCGAACGTACCCCCAAAATGTGGAATATTGGCGATGATCCGATATACCCCATTTGCAATACCAAATATGCTGGAAGTTCTAATATGAATATTGCGATCTCTATCTTTATTTGAAATTTCAAGAAGAACAGCAATGAGCTTGCAAAAAAATATAGACTTACACAATTATTTGATTAATTAAAAGGAAGAAATTATTTTTTCCTTTGATTTTTTCATTTCATTTGTAAAGCAAAAGTTCCGATGAAAAAGCAATTAATGTTTTCAAAAATGCTATCACCGCCTTATTATTTCATCATAAATATTGTATTGGAAATTTAATATCATACCAACTTTTAGTATACCGATCGTTATATGTAGCCGGTTGAACTTCTTTTTGGTTTGCGAAGGCTTACTAGTGTCGATGTGTAGTATTTATATACTACACAACTATGTTGTCAGGGTATTATAGCTTTGTGTAGCCCCAAGAGATTGTAAAGCTGCGAAAAATTGGTCCTAGACCCACCTTTAAATATACCGATTGTCATATCTCGACTAGATGAGTCGATCTAGACGTGTGTTTCCGCCCGTTCATCTGTCCATTATAATTTGTTAACACGATGCAGCCCACAGTTATGGGCCAATCTTTACGAAATTTTGCATGTAGGACCGGTTCTAGCCAATGAAGATTCCTATTTTAGAAAAGATAGTTTAATAGTTAGGGGATGAAATAGACCAAATACTTAATTATGGCCCTAACATCGTGAAGAAGGAGAAGGGGATCAGGCCAAAAAATAAGCACGCCTGTTTTGATAAATATTGGTCAATATTTATCGGATTAGAAGGGCTGTACTTAATATTAGTAATATTTGTTGACCTCTAGTCCGTCAAAAAGGTGCAAATATCGCAAAATGTGCTCAAGCTCAACATATAGAACCACAGAAAGTTAGATTTTCGTGGAAGTTGTGTAGGATATAATATGGTCGGCCCAGTCCGATTATACAGCTGCGCTTACTGTTTTTTTTTTTTTTATTAAATTCATATTTTTTCAAAGTTGTGAAAGTATGTTTGGAAGGTATAAGATGTATTTTTGAAGGATCCAACCTCAAATTTTGCAACGTTGTATGTCACGTAATCTTACTGTGATAAGCCATTGGCTGTCATACATTCTCACAACATTTCCCAGCCAAAACAATGCTTCTCTGTGGTATGATCCACAATAAATTAGACTGATTTTCGTACCTCACTGGCCTCTATATTCATGAAAACTTCTGCATATTGAGCTAATATTATCTGATATCCACATCCAATCAACTATTAAGCAGACCTCACAGTATACAAGATAAAAGGTTCTTTACAGTTAATACTTAGTATGATATCCATTGTTATCTTTTACAGCTTTCAACCTTGCCGACAAGGGGTCTGTTTTTTACCATTCTTCTTGTAAAGCTTTTTTCAGACTTGATCCCAATCAAGTCGTTCAAGTTTTATCGTTACTAATATTTTTCTACAAGATGCTCCATAAGTTATCTATAGGATTCAAATCCGGGGACTGAGGAGGTGTTTGAATCACTTATGGGAAATTATAAAGCATCCATTCTCGATGATCTGAGCCTTGAGCTTTGAGTCATTATCTTATTATGTTTCCTACTCCGGCAGCGCTCATACAGCCCCATATCCTTACTGACCCTCCTCCATGTTTTACGGTCGGAATTGTGTGATTAGGATCCACGGCATTATTCGCCCTGCGCCATACCTTACTTTTGTTCATCCGATCCAAAGAAGTTAAATTTGCAGCATTCAGTAAAGATAACAAATTTCCAAAATGCAAAATCCTTTTTTTCATGTTCCTGAACGAACTTCAATCGAATTTTCCGTTTTTTGAATGGCTTTTCAGTGCTACTATATCACGAAGAACATGCTTACACAAAATTCGTAGAATCGTTTCTAGGTTACATTTCTTTCCAGATATTTCTCTGGGATTTTAGCAAATGTAGGTGCACTTAGCTTCGGATTATTGGCCAGTAGTCGGAGGAACCACTCTTTCTTATATTGAATATTGTTTCTCGCTGGTTTTCGGCTTGTTGCAAGTTCGATTCTCGGTTTTGTGCCTTCAATATATTTTCCGTTGAGATTTTCATAGTTCGGCAATTGTTATATGGCATCGTATCATCTCATTCTCATGTTGACTATTAAAATAAGCAAACTGTAAACTAACTCTAACTAAACAAAATCTAATGCAATATTAAACTTGATATTCCCCGATATGATTGACTTTAAATCAATGAATTTATATAAATATTGGCTGTTTGATTTCATTAATTTTAAGTTAGGATGTTTATGTTCACATATAAAAAGGAATAAAATGTTATTTATTAATTAACACGCAAACCCAGCTCCAGAACTCCAGTTTGTATCACAGTATGATTTATATCACATGTAGCAGACCAAGATAAAACAAGTAAGGAAAGTAGTAAAGTCGGACGGGGCCGACTATATGATACCCTTCACCACTTTGGGTATATTCAACAGATGAATCCTAACAGACGTCGCATTTTTAAAGGACCAGTAAAATGAAATTGGATCAATAAACATTGCCATTCTGCAACGGATACTTAATTTTTCATTTGGCCAGATATAGAAGCTATAGCTAAATCTGAACCGATTTCAGGAAACTTAACACACATCATTCTAGACCTAATTCATTACGCTGTGCCAAATTTCACACAAATTGAAAGAAATATAAGGACTTTGAATTACTGTGCCAAATTTCGTACACATCGAAGGATATTAAGAAACTTTGATACACCATTTACACTTAATAGGACAAAAAATATATATGAGAGCTATATCTAAATCTGAACCGATTTTCAGGAAACTTAATACACATCTTTCTAGACCTAATTCATTACGTCGGGCGAAACTATATATGGGAGCTATATCTAAATCTGAACAGATTTTCAAGAAATTTTACACACATAATTCTAGACTCAATTCAGTACGCTACACACAATTTCGTGCAAATCGGAAGAAAATTAGGGACTTTGGCATACCATTTACCTAAAATCTGGCGAAACTATATATGGGAGCTATATCTAAATCTGGACCGATTTTCACGAAACTCAGCACATGTCATTTTAGACTTAATTCAGTCCGCTATGCCAAAATTCGAGCAAATCAAAACTATATATGGGAGCTATATCTAAATCTGAACCGATTTTCAAGAAATTTTACACACATCATTCTAGACTCAATCCAGTACGGTATGCCAAATTTCGTGCAAAACGAAGGACATATAGGGACTTTGGTACACCATTTAAATCGGGCGAAACTATATATGGCAGCTATATCTAAATCTGAACCGATTTTCTCCAATTCCAATAGGGTTCGTTCTTGGGCCAAATAAGTGAACTGTGCAAAATTTCATCCAAATCGAATCATAAATGCGACCTGTACTTTGTTAACAAAAATACATGGACGGACAGACGGACATGCGTAAATCGACTCAGAAAGTGATTCTATGCATGTTCTCAAAGGGAACCATGGGTCTATCTCGATTCCTTTTGCCTGTTACAAACATATGCACAAAGACATAATACCCTGTACCACAGTGTGGTGAAGGGTTAACCGTTATTTATTGAAGCCTGTTCGGAAGAAACAAGTAAAATACCCGATTTCATGCTGGCCATATATGTAAACATGCACTTACCACATGTGTCCACCGTTGACGTTTTGTTCTGCAATAAAAAGGAAAAATCGGTTACTTGAATATTAATAAAGTATTATTTTATTAATTATTTTAGGTTATTTAATAAATGTTGATACATAAGAAATAAATTTCACTTTTGTACATAAATTATTACCCTTTACTATACCCAATACAAATTCTCCTCTAAAATGGACAACAACAATTCATTAAATTTGCAACACCCTGTATTGTTACTACAAACATGTTTTTTCATTGTTCTATTTCTAGGCCCTGCATCAGACAGCACGTACCATCAATCAAACACCATCTGCTGCAGCAACGGCAAATTCCTCTTCGGCCAGTGGTGGTAGTGGCAGTGCAAAGGATGCCGATGCATCGTCGTTGATGTCATTGAATTTTGTTATGCAGTTCCTATTTCATGAATTGAAAAATTCAAATCGCGTGCGAAAGTGGTTTTATCGTAAACTTTCACTAGAGCTGGATGAGCTGATAGCAAAAACAACAACAGGCAAATTATTCGACAAATTAACGGTATGTACGTGTGTGTCCTCAGTTGCCAATTTGTGAATGGAGAAGAAAAAACAAACAACAACAATACCTGTATATGATATTCATATATTCAAAATATATATATGACCTATGGGAAATTACTGGGTTGAGAAGGTTACTGTTTTTTGGTAAATAAAAATATAGTTTACTGGTATTGACGCTATATTGTCATTGTTGGTGTTTTGAATTGAAAACATTAATTTAAAATGAAGGGGGGAAATACAAGAATACAAACGTCCTTTTTTGGGTGACCTACATCAATTACTGTAACTGAATAATAAGCTATTTGCATTTAGCAACTACGATTTTTTTTCCTTCAGAATAAGAAGAGGTTAATTTTCCTTATCTCAAAACTATAATATATGATCCACAATTATTTTTAAAATCATATATGAGGTATGGGTATATGAGGATTATATCTAATTCCGACTGCAAGAATACGTCATTCTAGAATCTAGATCCAAATGTGTCTGCTGTGAATAGTGTGTGTTATCGGAAAGACATATCAGAAATCGTACGAATTTATGTACGAAAAAACCTCAACAGATGAGCATACCTTTAGGCGAAAACAAAAATAATTCGAAATTTTATTTTTAAACTCTTTATCATAAGGGAAATTTCTCCGCTGAAAATGTTGAAAATATGTTCATGTGTTTCCCATTTTTTCTCTAGTTTTGCATGCCATATTTTTGGGGGATGAAAAACATATTTTCTGGAAATGTTCGATGATTTGATATACACCCTATATCCAGTACTGGCTCATTTTAAAGGTCTTTGCCGCATTTTCCAACTATATGGCCCATATGTTGATATGGTTCCGCACATTTGTTTTTTGTTTTATTTATAATGTATAGTTGTATTTATTCTGAGCAAGGATCTGTTTAAAGTGGAAAATGACAATGAAAATATACGAATATCAATGTCTTGTCTTCGGCTTTTTGTAGGTCAATAAATCTCGTCTTATGGTATTTAGTTTATGGTTCAAGAAAGTAGGGACGAAAAAGAGGAACTAGGACTCGAGATAACTAGAGGTAACGTTTTACAAAAATATTCACCATACTATTTGACTGAAGAAGTGTCATTTCAAAAATAACATGTAATCGAATAAGCTATAGTGGATATTTTTGGTTCTCAATGGGAGGATACTCTGCGGTCTTTGGTCTTCCCATTATTTTTCTACTTTTGATACTCATTTGGGTGACAAGTCTTTCTTACTAAAAAATACAAATATCGGGATAATGATGAGGCAGAGTCCACAATTATGAGTCAAATCTACTATTTCGAATAACAAAACTTGAATCTTATAGAATAATTGTTTACTCAAAGAAAATATGTTTGGGAAAAGATGAGATATTGACCTTTAATCGGTCAAGAGAGTGCAAATATCGTAAAATATTACCCAGGCTCAGTGGTATGTGTGTAGGGTATCATAGGGTCGATCCCGTCCGACTATACTGCTCCGTCCACTGGCTTTTTATTGTCATTAGTTTAGAAATCTTTCTTAGTCAGAGTCCTACGAATGGTAATGCCTAATTTTCTTTGTGTCGAGGATTTCAGAAAGGTATTTCAATTGAGTTGCCTTTAATATTTTGTGTTCTCATGGGTTCTTAGATTGGTAGATCTCATAAAAAGTCCCTTTATAGCTATGTTTATGGTCCTAGACGAATTCTGCAATTTGACACTCCACAACTTTGATGGGTAAACAGATTGAAACCTCAAATGTTGTCCGGCATATTAACATTCGAAGGTGGCACAACAACAGTTGTATCTTATCAACTTGTTAAAGCGAAACTAACGACGAAACGCTAGCCGATGTGTGTGTTCGCATTGTTGTGAAGGACAATGATTCGTCTTCTCTTGTTAATTTGTTTCCGAATTTCTCCACCCTACATTGCTCAAGCAGTTGCCACATGACCAGCCGAATCATCTGATTCGAAGTGCTTCATTCCAGATCAATTTTCAAGTCTTTGTTTAATGATTATCAATATGTGCGGACCCAACGAAAACGAAAGAGATAATTTCACATGACAATCGGACATAATTAGTTTGAATTTTTGCATTTACGAGCCTCGGCATTAAAAATGTTTTTCATAGACCTATTGAGGGCGCACTCTTGTGATAATGTATGTCGTGAGTTGTGATAAATGATCACACAAATATGTTTACCATAAGCAAATCTAGTTATTTTCCTACCAATGTCTCGGTCCTTTTGATTCGATAAATATGGACAGCTCATCACTAAAACAGCGATAATTATTCATGGGCGAGGTAAAAATTTCTCGTGTAAAATTGCACAATGTTTGGGTCATAACGATGTCGTCTATGACTAGAACTTAACGTATGCGTAAAATTTCGTGGCAATGCACTATGGGCCAGAGGCCCCATAACTAGAGCAGTGGGTTTATAAAATAAATAAATATCACATATAAGGGTTTTGGGGGCACTGATTACAAACGTGAAATCAGATTTTGAAAATCAAATTAAAAGAAACCAAAATGGCGGATTAAAAATACGAACAAAATATTATATTTAATTTCTTAGCAGATGTTAATATTAAATACGCATTAAATTGTTGATTTATGTATTATGAGCATACAACATACCTTAACCAGTGAGCGGAACAGTATAGTCGGACGGGGCCGACCATACGATACCCTACACAGCTACCACGAACTCTAACTTTCTGAGGATGTCTGAGTAATATTTCGTGATATTTGCCCCCTCTTGTCCGATTAAAGGTTAACAACACCTCTTCCTTACTTTTTTCGAATATTCAGTACAGTCCTTATAATTACTTGTCCAGATTACCTTCACGGTGGGTGTGTTGTGATTTTCGGATTATACTCTACTCGAAAACACACAAAAAATTATGTTTTCGGTCCATTTCATCCCAAAATTTTAATCTGATCATCACCGAAAATTGTAGGCGTTGTTCTTGACCATAACTGGAACTTCATGAAAAATTTCAAAGCCATCAGCGCGATATTTCTCCCTCTAATGTGGTAATGGGTTACTAAATAATATCTGAATACATAAGCACCTGTAAATATTTGACTGTAACTCCCACATCTGAGTAGATACATCACTATATTTGGTATCAATTTAAAGGCCAACCACTCCTCTTGGATATGCTATCAACTCCTGGGGTTTACATCCTCCAGGAGTAAATATATATGCCATAGAATACAAATTTTCTCATTTTTCACACAAAAGTCAGGGTCCATTTGACCCGCTAAATATTGACCAATCTTTATCAAAACATGCATGCTTATTCTCTGGCCCGATCCCCTTCTCCATGCAAAAATTCGCGGTGTTTGGGCCATAATTGCGGCCTCTGGAGCGACCAGAAAAACCGACAAAAATTTAGTATTTGGTCCATTTCATCCCCTAAATATTAACCGATCTTTTCCAAAAACAATAGGGGTCTTCATTGGCCAGAACCCATCCTACATGCAAAATTTCGTGAAGATTGGTCCATAACTGTGGCCTGTATCGTGTTTATAAATTATAATGGACAGACGGACGGACGGACGGACGGACGGACGGACACACATGTCTAGATCGACTCAGCTAGTCGAGATATGACGATCGGTATACTTAAAGGTGGGTCTATGACCAATATTTCGCGGCGTTACAAACATTTGGGGCTGCACAAAGCTATAATACCCCGACAACATAGTTGTGTAGGGTATAATTACATACCGACTATATTATACCCAACAGAACTACCACGGAACTTTAACTTTGTGCGGATGTTTATTCCGACCCCGGAAATATATCTCATATTTGCGCCCTCTTGCCCGGTTAGAGGTCTTTCTTACACTGACATATTTTGTGAATCTTTTCATTTTACACATAAAGATCTTTTTTTCATGTTACACATAAAGATCATTGTTGACTTGACCCACTGAATAGTGAACGATCATTACCAAAGCACTTCTAATAAGTTGGTCAGATTCCTTTCCTAGTGCCATATTCGGCTTATAATTTTGTTAATAAAAAAATTGTTTCCGGTCCATTGCACCCAAAAGTTATTATCTGATCATCACGGAAAATTATTGGCGTTGTTCTTGACTATAACTGGAACTTCATGAAAAATTTCAAAGCCATCGGCGTGGTAATGGGTTCCTAAATAATATCAGAATACGTAGTCTCCTGTAAATATTTAAGTATAAGTTCCATATCACTATAATATGTATCAGTTTAAAGACCAAGCACTCACCTTGAATACACAATAATAACTTATCGAGTCTATGTCTTTCAGTAGTAAATACGCCATAGAATACCCTTTTTTGCATTTTTCCACAAGGCTGTGGGACCATTTGACCCACTATATATTGACTATATCAAAACAGTCATGCTCTGTATTCGTGTAAAATTTCGTGGCGTTCGGGTCATAATTGTGGCATCTAGAGCGACCAGGAAAATAGACAAAAATAATGTTTATGGTCCATTTGATTCACTACATATTAACGGACCATTTCCAAAAACAATCGCAGTCTTCTTTGCTCATAATCAGTCCTAGATACAAACATTCGTAACGATTGGTCCGTAATTGTGACCTATATCCTATTTCCAAATTATAATGGATGGACGGACACACACGTCTAGATCGACTCTGTTAGACGATCGGTACAAACACTTGGGGCCCTGACCAGAAAGTTGAGTAGGGTACCTGTACTTTGATTGCAAATTATAATTAACCGAACTCCATCGGACGGACACACATAGCTGAACCAACTCAGCTAGTACGAGATACGATGGACGGCATACTAAATGGTGGTTCGAGAACCAATCCTTCTAGTTACAAACTACAACGCATTAAAAAAGAAAAATTAAATTTAAAACAAATTAAATTGTTCCTTTTTTTTAAATTGGGTTTCCTTTAATTTCGTGCAGAACAAAAATAAATAAATTATTAATTTCATGGTATATAATACAACATCCACTATAATCATGCATTTCTTTGTAATTTATTTCAT